CAGGAGCTTCAGCATCCCACATTGAAGACAGGGTCCACTACAGTCCTACTTTTCTGTAGGAAACAAGGCCCTAGCCAGTATTAGGGTCTGGGCCAGCAGCGGTGTGTGAGGGAACCCAGCAGCCAAGACCATCTAGATCCAGGCACAGCACTCCACCAAAACCCTTGACTGCTGAGTGATATAAACAGCCCACTGGCTACACAAGATGCACTGAAGCTGTTAGACAACACTTCACATCAAAACCTACCACTTTGTCCTCATTCCAGGCATACCTCTGCACTGTACAAAGATACAGCAGTAAGAAAGCCTCTTGACATCACCCTCACTTACCCCAAGTAGTCAGCACAAAGGAAGCATTCCCTTCCCAGCCTGGAGGTAAGGTGAACTGCAGGCTTTCTTGACCACAAGCCAGCAGGGTGGGATCAGAAAAAACACTACCCTGAGCCCCCACAATCAAAGCAATGGGACCAAGAAACCCCCAGAAGAGCACAGCTCCAAATACAGTCCTAGACTGCCCTGCAACAGCCATCCTGCTTTCTTGCTGAGGACCATAAAGCAGCTGCTCTTAGCCTAGCCCTTTTAAATTGTGGAGCCAGCTGGGATCAGAAATTCCTGAAGTGTCCAGGTGGACCCAGCTCAGCAGTTTAACACCTTCCATTGCCCTCACCTGGCTCTGAACCCATCACAGTCTGCTTGCACCCTTTGAAGAAAACCACAGGACAGGAACAGAGCTTATGTCAAGAGATGGGTCTGTATTCATATCACTAAGCTGAGAGGAGCCTGTCTGTGCAATTTACTGTAGAGCCCCAGGAGGGTCTTCAAACCCTTTCTTCTCACTCTGAGTTCTTCCCACCACTGGCCCATCCAGGAGATCTACCTGCTTTTCTCCATGTACCCTACTGCTGCTCTAATTGCTCATTACATGGCATGAGTGCAAGAAGCTGAGTGACAACACTCTTTTGCTCTTTTAAAGGTGCCACTGCTTCAAATGCCAGACACAGAGTGCTGATATATAAGCACAGAAATAGCTCTCCACATGAAATCTGTGGAAAACTATGGAGCTCAGGAGACTTTGCACACCTAAAAGGAGGTGGTTTCAGGTAAGCGCCCTTTCCTAATTTCTACACGTAACCTTGATAGTCATGTTGGATGATGTAGAGATGGGAGGCAAGTAAAACGAGCCTGAAATTAATGGAAATGAAATGTTTTGTTTAGAAGAAGTTGTTATAGGCAGTGGAATGCAGCCTGGCTGAGAGGAAACAGCAGGTCTCTCTTCCTCGCAAATCTCTTCCTCAACAATTTGACAGTTCTCACGCATTACAATGACCCAGCTGTTAGCACCAATTTAGCTAGCACCCAAGACCACCACAACAGGACATGCAGAGGATGAAGGTAGGTGAGGCAAATATCTCTGTAGGCCACTAGCCTGAAGCTGATCATGATCCCAGCAAGCTAAAACAATTTTGAGCCTGGGAGACTGGGGCAGACACAGCGGCAGTGTAGGAGTTGCCCTAGCTGTAGAAAGCTCTCTAGAGACCTGTGGGAAGAAAATGAGGTCTTAAATACCACCACCAAGAAGTGCTGAGAAGTGGAGTACAAAATGCCCTGTGCATTGTGGGACTGCCTCCAAGGAGATCGCTGCGTGTATGGCCTGTACCATGCACCGTATGTGGTACAAAATGGCAGTGCATGGAGGAGTGACTCAGTCAAACCACTCCTCCACAGAAGCTGAACAGCATTTGCAGACAGCAGGGGTATCTGCACCAAGTGTCCTGGGGATGAGGGGTGCTGGCTGCACAGTGGGCAGGAGTAGCATTTCGCAGTGCTACCTTCTGAACTGAGGCCCAAAAAGAGAAGGTGCAGGCAGCAAGCCTGCAGGAGATTCCACACAATGGTGACAGACTTTCATAGAATCATAGAATCATAGAATGCTTTGGGTTGGAAGGGACCTTTAGAGGTCATCTAGCCCAACCCCCCTGCCGTGAGCAGGGACAGCTTTAACTAGATCAGGTTGATCAGAGCCCCATCCGACCTGACCTGGAACGTTTCCAGGGATGGGGCTTCCACTACTTCTCTGGGCAACCTGTTCCAGTGCTTCACCACCCTCATAGTAAAAAATTTCTTTCTCATGTCTAGTCTAAAGCTTTCTTCAATCTTGTGCTTTATTTTAGAAAAAAAGAGGCAAACCTACAACACTGGTAGCCTTTTCTTTGAATATCCCTAATATGTGCCTCCAATGGACTTAAAACTAAAGTTCCTGGGGAAGATGGAGGGGAGGGGATTTCAGCCTGGCCTTCCTGGGCTTTCACATGGATGGAGAGGACAGACCAGCCCTGCCCATTCTTAGCATCTGCAAACAGAAGTGAGTACTCAGAAAACCCTTGGACACTACTGTGACATAAAAAGGCCCATGGTTTCCCACAGGGAAAGGTCTGAGTGACTTATGGGTTTTCTGAATGTGACTGAGTCTTATGGGTTTTCCTCCCTTGTAAATCCCCAGTGAGTCTGCCAGGGTGGTGGGGATATTTGGAATATAATAATTTTATCCTGATAAAAATGAGAAATCTTGGAAGTATTCCTAGTTCCAGGGCTTTTGCTCATAGTATGTCGCAACCTGTGAGGCAGAGCTGAGTGAGCCCTTGTCCCCAGGAATGACAGAAGGCGGTAAGGTCATGAACGCTGCCAGCAGAGAGACCTCATGTAGCAGTGCAAACTCCCATGAACTCCACTTTCACCAGGCGGAAGTCCCTAGAGCTACATGAACTTCCACAAACTGCCCTGGCAACATCAGAGCTGATGCAGGAGTTTAGGCCAGCAGATCAGCAACTAGCCCAAACTTGTCGGCCATTCAGTTTTTCCTCCAAAGTATCAAGTATGGGTCTTTAAGAAGTGAAATGAGATTTAAGAAGACCAACTAGCAAATTATTGTGCCTATGCAAGAGGGTGAGGATGACTTAAGAACTCATAGGGAGGCTACAGAAACTTTTGCAAGGGATGGAGACCTTCGCTAGCACCTCTGAGTGAAGGGGAAACTCACATTAACATACTGCTGCACAGCAAACCCAGCACACTCCAACCAAGCACCTGGTTCACCCAGGCCCCTTGCTAATTCCCACCAAGTCCCATATCCCCTATCCTCGCAACACCTTCTGCTCAGTTGGATGAGATCTGTCTGCCTGCAAAAGTGTCACAGCTCAGGAGAGACAGAGCTGTATGTCCAGGGACTGAGCAAGCTGAGCACAGGCAGTGCCACAGCCCTGAGGGTCCTTTCTACCTGCCATTGCCACTGCTGTTGGGACCTTGCAGGTATGCAGCCCCTGGAGTAATCTCAGGTAGGAAGCTTCCAGCTCTTTTTGAAGTCTTTGCAACATACCAGACATACTCTGCGGCCTCCCAGAGCACCTCTGGCCCTTCCAGGGGAGCAATTCCTCATATCGAGGTCAGACATCAACAAAACAGGAACTTGTGCATGCCAGCTTCCAGCAGTAGGTTGGGTGGGCTTCTCTGGTCATTGCAAGTACAAGGACTAGTTGCCATGTTGCACTATCCTATACCCAGCCTCTCACAAATGCAGCTCTGTCTCAGCTTGGGAAGCCATTCCCCAGAGACCCTCTCAGGTTCACGATTTCTCTCTTCTCTACCTGCTTCTCTCACTCTTTCTCTTCTCTAGGAGAAGAGGTCAGAGTCCCAAGGTCTAGTCCCCTTTTCTCATGTCTCTATCTTATCTCTCCCAGCAAGTCCCTTCTTGTTTACTGTGATGTCTGGAGACCCTTCTGCCCTTGCTAGATGGGTGTTTTATACTTTCTTCTCTTGTGAGGCCAGACACCCCTAGGGAGACAGACTGAGGCAATTGCTGTGCACTGAGGAAAACCTGTCAGTATGTTCTTTGGCACATCACATGTAGTGCAAATTCCACTGATAATATCAGGAAGACTTCAGAAGCAAGCAAGGATGGCTCACGCCACTGTGAGCTTGTACAATCAATATCAAAGAATAGAAAATGTCACTGAAGTACTTGGAAGATGCTCCTGTGACAGTGAATTTCTGGGAGTGCCTCAGTAGAAGAGTGCATCCCTAGTGTGATCTCTTTAACAATGAACTTTAGGTGAAACAAAACAACTTTTATGAGCACATTACAAATTTCTTAGTCTCTGTTGGCCTCTGCAGTTGTTTGAGATAAGGCATGTCTTCAATGCCCAATTAACCCTGAGAGAAGTCCTAGTTTTGTAACACAGGGTGGTCTAACAAAGGATTGGCTAGTAACGTTGACTAACTCAGCCACGTGATCCTGAGCTAACTACACTCCAGCTGCGGCAGCCCGAGTCACACCCTCCTGAGCTGCAGAAGGAAATGGAGCTCCTAGGAGCAGCCACTGTTGTCTTCCTGGTTTGCATTGCTTGCCTGCTCTCCTTTGCAGCATGGAGAGGGAGGTCTGTAAAGGGGAAGATGCCTCCAGGACCGGCTCCCCTTCCCATCCTAGGTAATGTGCTGCAGGTGAAACCAAAGAACTTGGCCCAAACCCTCCAGAAGGTAAGGTCACTTTCTTCTTCTCTCTTACTTTCTTCTGTGGGCAAGAAATGTGTGGGAGCGGTGCATGGGGACAACCTGTGGCCATAGCTTGGTGAGTGGCAATCCCAGAGGAGCGGAAAAGTCATGGGGATCTCAGCTGCTCCCCCTCACTGCTGTTACCGTTGTTCAGGGCCTGATAGCTGGGAACCCTCTCCACACATTTATCATGAGAGGACCAAATCTTTATGTTGCTGGTCTGTGAGGCTGCACTGCCTGCAGTGGGATGCAGCAGCAAGGACACTTTTCAACTCCTCCTCCCTATCTGCTCCGTGGCCGTGTTCTCTCTTGCATTTTGACAGCTCAGTGAAGAGTATGGACCACTGTTCACAGTGCACCTGGGCTCTGACCCAGTGGTGGTGCTGCACGGATATGATGTGGTGAAAGAAGCCTTGATTGATCATGCGGATGAGTTTTCTGCCAGAGGACACATGCCAATAGGAGACAGGGCTAACAATGGATCAGGTATAGTTACTGACCAAGCTCCTTCTTAGGAGGAGGGAAGGGCTGAGGGTGCATTTGGCAGATGAGAGCTGGAGTGTACCACACATGAGGGAAGACTGCAGGGAGTGGGTGGGTCCCACCTGGAGAAGGGAAGGCAGAGTGGGCTGTAATTGCGGGCTTCTACCACTTGAAGAGGGTAGCAGAGAAGTGGAGCTGGATTGATCTCAGCAATGGGCAGTGAAAGGGCAAGTGGCAACAGCCACCAGCTGCAGCAAGGAAAATTGTGTGTGGATATGAGTGATGAATTGTTCACAAGAAGGTTGGGTATGCGGTGGAGAAGGCCAAAAGCAGGCAGTTGGACTACAGGACCTCCAGAGAGTGCCTCCAAACCACAGTACTCTATGACACTACTGTGTCAGTGGTCTCCCAGGGACAGGATTCACTGTTACTGTGAGCCTCTGTTCATCTCACACCCAGCATGCCCAGGCCAGGTCTTCCCACTTCCTTTTTCCTCTGCAG